TTGTGCGCTCCGCACTGGTGCAACTGAAGCATCGCCTCCCGGAAAACAGAACCAGGGACTGCGCCTATATAATTAAACGTAAAGATTGCATTCAAGTCTATATAGGCAGACGACCAGGGAACTTCATACCAGAATCGGATAGCTTGAGAGGAAAATAAACAGGCCGCCGAGAAACGCGGATGAATAAAAGTGCGTTACTAAACGACTCGGCAGTTGCAGAACATGCACTGGACACGGGACACAAACTAGATTTATAAAATGTGAGGTTTTGAGGCGGAGATTACGGTCCACGTCACAGAGACTGATGGCCGAGGCGGTAGAAATCACCAAGGGTCCCAGTGTTAACAGAATAGAAGGCGTGGAACTGGCAAGCGGTACAGAACGGGTTGGGATCAGTCGAGCTGATACGTGTCATAAGAAGGATGAGTAGTCGTCATCCGAATTCCACTTGACTCCACCCATCCCCCAACTAAACTGTCGGAGCACTCACAACCCCACAAAGACCAACGAAATCTATCAGCAGCAACAGCACTGAATCATCAATTGAAGCACATTAAAGTGGAAAATTAAAGAATCAACCCAATCAGAATTAACTTGAAACTCCTCCAATCAATCAGTGCATGATTTTGACAACCATACTAACCGACAGGTGCCGTTAATTGACACCCAAAACTAATCTAGTGCGCTAATATGAATAGGTTTCACTGATGAGCTCTCCGCTGCCTTAAAACCTGGCCAACTTGGTGACCTGTTCACTTGACTTGATGAAGCTTTTGTGTCAAAAGCGAAACGTTGCACAAATAACTACCGATTGTTTACCAAGCCCTTCCGAAATCCGTTTCAGTCATTTTGATTCAATGCTTGTCAAGCAAGAGGAATACTGAGCACTCATTCAGCCTTTGGCATTGAAAGCACGCAGTTGAAAGCACGCAGTAATTGCATTTCTAGAGCGCTTAAGCACAACCAAGTAACTGTTCACTCTTCTTTTTTTTCTCAGGTACATGTAAAACATGGTGACCATTTACGTGCTGCTCGAATGCTCATTCGTGTTGCGGAAAATATTAGCAAATTTCCAGCACGTGAGTGAGAAGCCCAGCTTTTTCATGCAGACAGCGTTCTTCATTAAGATGATCCCGTTGCATTGGCTTTAGAAAGGGAGAACAATTACAATTCTTTGGTTATTTCGGTGGTCAACCAATTGGAACATTTATTTGTATGAACCCTAATCTGACTTGCAGAATTAATCATAATACATGTGTGAGGACAGGATTGTCTTGTTTATAGTTAAGTCAACTTTTTCAATTGTTTCTCCAAACTACTGTCATTCGATAAAAATTTTCCGGTATTCCTCAAGGACTTTTACTGGAATCGTCGCTGGTGCTAAACTTTTGGAACGTTTTCTTCGAAAGCTGGTTATCCAGTTAAGCGAAGAATAATTAACCACTGCAAATTTTACTCAGTTCTGCAGAGAAACTCCTTGGTGGCTCATTTTCCGCAGGCAAGGAGAGCGCATCTGATTTTGCTGTTCTAATGTGATGTTCATGGAGTTCCGAAAAACTTAGGATTCAAATGAACTTCCTTTTGTAATAAAACGTCCAAACCCCTGTGACCACCGTTCAAACCGTATGGATAACTCGTTTGTACCATCCATTCTCTCCACCTTGAGCCTACTGATAAAATACGGAAATCAATCGCCAGTATATATTTCTGGTTTATGGTGGTTATGGTGAACTAGATTCTATTTCATCAGGTCAGTTTCTATCCAGATTGCCTGAGTGAATGTCTGGAGGTGTAGGCACCTCGGAATGATTGTGTTAAGCTAGCACTAAGTCCCTTCCCCGTCCACCTTCATTCTTTTCTTTACAATAAGGCTCTCAAATAAGTCATGGTTGTACGGCAGTGAAGAATCGGTGTTGAACACTGATGTCATGCTGTCGATGATGATGATAATGGTTACTTACTGAAAAGCTCGTCATCACTGGAAACTTAGAATTCAGTGTATGTAACCATGAATAAGTTTAGAACAAGTATTACGGTATGCGAAAAATTCCAGATAAACGCATCACTTAATCGCCGGAAACGGAATTGTTGTTGTTGGTAAGAGTAGCTCTTTGGGATGACCGCTTAGTTGTCAATTATCAACACCGCTTGGATACTGCAGGCTGGTTATTGCTGTTGTTCGCCGACGATTTGAGGAGACAGGGAATGATAGCTAAGTATTGGAAGCGGCTGGTGGTATAACTGATGCGTGATTCTAAGAGTCCCAGTGAACTTTTCATTGCGCAGACATGCATGGAAAAGACATCAGTGAACGAGCGACCGGGTCAGGTCTGTTAATATCTCTTACCATTGATGTAGTCCTCATTCAGGGAGATATCAATGACTGGTGCAACTGATTTTTTCCGGTAGTGACTTTCATAGTTCACTTGCAAGTCATTGCTGGATGTCCCTTGGCTCCTTAACACCCACCGCATGAATGCGCAATAAGTGCTATCCTAAACAGTTGATCGAGTGACATACTAGACAGGTGGCCAAACCCTATAGATTGCAGCTGAGGATTAAAGTTCCAGACGTTCAGGGATGTGTTTCACTTTCGGTCCACTCAGCAACTGTAGGGGCCTTTTCCTGTCAATGTTGTAACGATCTGAACAAGCATATCCATGCAAACAAATGTGTTTTAGTGGCTGAATAATAGTGTTCATGGATCGTAAAAATCTCCACAGCCGGAATTATTGAGAATGAAAACGGGCGCAACATATTAATAGCAATACTGTATATGGTGATGGTAACAGGAAATATCCTCCTAACAGACAGACGGACGGATTAATGTAACTAACGCATAGCATCAGTTATCCAAGGCGTTATCAAACCGTTTTTACATTCGGAAGAATTTAACCAATGTACACAGTTCTGATGGAGAATATATGAGCAAATATATCCGCCCTCATATCGGCTGGAATAAAATTTTCAGTACCTAGTCTTTCAGGTAACTAGTTGTAATTCATTCGTAAATGTTTCAGGCGCCATTTTACCTTTCAGTTACTATGGGGCAATGCTTTTTTACATGTGGCCGTTTCCCTCCCTAACTGCAGCAAGAATGCATACATTCAGGGCAGCTAAAACGATAAGACTGCGGTTGTATATTCATCTGACACCCGGCTCTCAGTTGACCTGCTTCACTTCAGAGAAAGTATATTTCCAACACAATTGTATCAGTTAAATATGAAATACAGAAGCGCTTGACACTGCTCAGCAATTACCAAAAATAATTAAACTGTTTCAACTACACAGCAATCACAGCAGCTATCCATCTAAACCGCATGTACAAAGTTTTCCTATCGCATCTGTGATCATTCTTTAACCTACCTTTTCCATTTGAATCCCATATTGCATAGTGTTTTTTATATTCTTGTTTAGTGTATTTGATCATCTATCAAAAGTGACATTTTCAACAGAGACTCCCAACAATCAATCTGGAGTTCATGTTTTGGTGGTTCTCTTGGTTCGCCCCACTCACCGAATCAAATGAAAGTGTGATTCCTAGGCAATAGTTTTACATTAGCTACTACTTATCTTGCAAGACAAGTAAAAGGTCGTACACTAGAGATTGTAAACGAACTAACTGTGCGAAGGTCGAGCACCAACCAATGCAATGCTTCCCTACGATCGACGGCTCCTGCTTCAACTTCATGGATTTTTGTCTTCCAGATGTGGTCCCTATATTAACGAGTACCGTAATCGAGTGTCAAAAGGCCGGACTGAAGTCAGCAAGTTTTGGTTATGCTGCAATGCTTCTCCGTCCAGAGTACAGAGAGAAACTGGATCCGAAACATCGCCGCAAGTTTGAAACTTTGGTTCGCCGACCTGATCGTAAAACGGAGTCCACGGAGGAGGATGCTGAGAATAGGAAAACAGAGCAGGAGGCGTTCACACCTTGTCCACTATGTTTCTCTCCGATAACGGCAAGCAGTCTATACTGCACAGAGTGTCGCATAACATTGCCCTACTGTATCATCACAGTGAGTAAGATTTGTTATACCATAATTCACCGAGAGACTTATAATCAGCAATTGAGAGTCTTGACGGTCTTCTTCCAAATTTCCTTGCAACTCTGTGGGGTATTATATGTGTTGAGCGTTTAATATCTAAGACCATGAGTTTCATCCCTGGCCGTAAATGGTGACACCTCACTACAATTTTACCGGACTGCGTAATTCCGACAAAGTCGGTTTTTGGCAAGTTCCTTCTAATGTGTTGATGGTGACTTCATCATATCTTGGTCAGCGCATGATTGTTACTTAACTTTTGGCTTCTCATCCTTCGAAAACTTATTGAATGCGAGGTGTTCGCCTCTGATTGAACATTCCTTCCGGCAATGCTCAGCCGAATTGCCAACATGCTCTCGTGAATTTATTTCAGGGAAACCACGTTATACGAAGTGATTTCACCGTCTGTCCGAATTGCCAATTTCCTGCTATTTATAGTGAATTTATGAGGTAAGTCATCTGAATGCGTGAACCGCGTGATTACATTTGAAAATTAGATATTGAGAGTGAAACATTTGGTGTTCCAAGGTTTAGCCAGTCACACTTGGCACTGAACTGGTATAGTAAAACTGCTTTTTATGAACAAAACAGCACCAACACACAATGATCTCTCAGGGCTCTGCCGTCAACACCACCAGAATGAATACGGAATCTACAAGTTATGTAAAAATGGAGAAGCATTTCTAGTTCCAATGTCAACCTGTTTCATAACATTTCGTCTCAAAACCCCCTGTTTACCCTGTTGGTCCGAACGAAACAAAAGTCATCTAGGATATCACACATGTTGCAGGAAACCGTTGCATTCATCAGAAGTTTTCCGTTCCGGATGTCGTTGTGGGTAAATTGATTGTGTTTAAACGTTTGCTTCCAAGTTTGCCGTTGCCCCAGTACATCGATTGTGATTTTGAAGCAGCGATGTGCGAGGTCTCCATGACACAGGAAATTTTTCGCTGATGCTTCATCAAAATTATACACCAATGCAGCTCTCTGTGTTGCTCTTTAAAAAGAAGTTTTGAGATACACCTACATATCTTTCCTTGGTTGTCAGCAATGGTGTTACCGGGGCGTTAGAGGCTATTCACCTGGATCTCAGCAGTACTACATATCGATATATGTGATGTTCTGCACTATTTCGGGTATCTCATAGCAAACAGTCAGGATTTAGTCAATTATTAAACGTTTTTGGGAGTTAGAAAGTGAGATATGTACAGAAGGTCTGTGCAAGTATATACATACATATATGTGCCAACAAACACTTTAAGCGATGCTAATCTGTTTTCAAAGTTTCACTGATAAAAAACTGGCTGTCCGGTTGTGAGTGGCTATGTGTAGTCATTCGAACTTTCAAAACCTGATGCTGGGTAACGGAGCTAAGGATTTCAAAGTTGTTCTTGGCCAAATTCTAAGTGAGCATGTCTGATTATGAAGGCTGGCTTTAAAGGAGCAAAATCGTACCATGTGCTGAACTCATTTTACTAAGAATCATAATCTGCAGAAATCCTAGTGGGAAGCCAAAAGCTTTCCAACCCCACCAGAGTCTGTCTATAATGTTAGGACGCACGTAAACTTGTCGACTGCGTCAACTGACACACAACGTAATAGTTTTAAGCACCTGATCAACAGCACTGATCGAATTTTGTATTTTTATTTGTATAGACAGTTTGTTTTTAGGGCCGGTCACTTGAAAAAACCCAGAAAGTTTTGTCATTTGCCCATTAACCTCAGTTAGCTATAATTTAGACAAAGGAATTCATTTCAACTTCCCTTAAACATTGTTAACGTTACCGGGTACGTTTCACGAGCTTTCGTTCTTGCGCACCCCATTCATTAGGTTTTGGTAAGCACGTTACATGCATGCCAACAGCAGCACTGCCGAGGATTGTTCTCGGTGATGGTAAAACTAAACTCGATATTCATTAGTTTTATCGTCCTCCCAACTCTTTTGAGTATATCTGTACTTCTTATCCTCTTTACTCCCAGCTACATAGAGAATACTGATTCCCCCAACTGCCCAATGTGTTCTGTGAAAGTAGAACGTGAATCCATTCGTCGGATACTGGATCCAAGTAAAACTCTGGCCGCATGGATCTCGTCGACGGAGGAGGCCGAAAAGACCGGAGAGGACGCCGAAAATAAATCGTTACCACAGGAACCTACAATTTGATACCAGCTTTTCTGTCCTTGTTCTGAAGCGTTTGACCTTAAACATTCGATTAAATGTTGTGAAAATAACTTTAATTTGATCTGACTTACTGCAGTTTTTGCTAACAGTTGACCACAACCCGTCTTGAGCAAGACGGTCAGGCATTTTCGGGCAGTACATTAACTTGGGTTTGACTTCCGGTTCAAACAGTATTAATGCGACTTCCAATCGGTTAGCTAGATTCCCTTTGTAATCTACATCAAGCTATCAGAGCACCGTCACATGAACTGTATACTTGCAAACTGTATGTGATCTATCCCACTTTTATCGAACACTGTAACAGCAAGGTAATACTCGTTTTGCAATACATCCTCTTCGGCAACATTCATCACCATATAAAAATGCCCGGGATGAAATTGGATACTGCTTGAGTCGCTGGGCTGTGATAGTTAAAAGAAAGCCCCACTCCGGTCAAACAGGGTTGTAGAAGGTTGGGTGTGGAGAAAATCCGGCACATATATATGAGAAACCACATTAAGTCTTGGCTTCAAATCCCGTGAACAAATAGTCAGTTGGCAGTATTTGCAGAACCGTGCTGTAATCCCTTCTTTCAGTATTCTAGTGTGCACTGGAGCACTCTGATTGGTAGAGCCTGGAGAGCTCGCCGACGCCGTTCAGTTCCTGGCTTCTCTCTACTAATGCAACTTGCAACCTGTGAGTAATGAATAACCGGTGGATCATGTCCAGTGTCGTTAAACCAAAATCCTGTCACACTTTGCAGTAGACGGAACTGTGAAGCTGTATAAGTACGTAGCTTTACTTGTTGGAGCTTGTGACCTACTTCTGAAGTAAGGTGCTTTCCCCGAAAGCCCTGTGGGAAAAATCATTACCGCTGTTTGCTGGTGGGCCTTGTGAAACTTGATCTATTTTATGGCAGCTTTCCCTTTGTAAACACCAAATTGTACATGGTTTGAATTATATACCAAAAAGAAAACCACAGATGAGATTTAGCTGAAATGCAATTGAAGCTCGCATCATGTCAACTTTCAACTGAGAAAAATGACTCATGATGGTGTCATGTAGTGATGCTGGTCGAGCGTTGTTAGTAAACTAGCCAAGTCATGCGAGGTAGAGTTCAGTGACCAGGTCATGGCCACCACGGCGGTGTCCACCAGCGCTGTTTGTTTTGACGATACCAACGCATGCTTTAAACCCTTGTTGGTAAAAACGGACTAATTATGTTTCCCAGGATTTGTTGACACATTCAGTGGCATGTGACCAGCATTATCGTATAATGCAACTTCGCTCGTTTGAATGTTGTTGCTTTTGATGAGAAGTCGTGACTTCTTAAGCAGGACTAAGTGTTGTTTCGTTGCACCAATTCTATTAAAATCTTGAAAATCTTCAGATGGCTTGCACTTAGTAAACTGCCCGGAAGTCCACTGGTGGCACGGCCTCGAGGAAACAACGCGCCACGAAGGGCACTAGCGCGCCGGCGACTGGTGGTGTGAAAAACCCTCATCGGTACAGACCCGGCAACGTTGCACTGCATGAAATTCGTCGTTACCGGAAGACCACTGAGCTCTTCATCCGCAAGCTGTCATTCCAATTACTTGTCCGTGAAATCGCCCAAGATTTAAAGACGAACCTTCGCCTCTAAAGCTCGACTGTGTCAAATCCACTTCTGATTTTACCTACTTCCAGTAAGCCAGCTGGATACGTTTCCTCACAAAATTCACTTACTGGATGCCAATTCGTGGATCTGGAACCCTGGAATAACCTCTACATTATAACGACCGTCATCGTCATCATCAGCTATAAAAACCTCGTACCTGCCGTACAGTGGTTCCAGCTGCCAGCTTCGTTAACCAATGATTTGGGGTGATAGGGGTAGCTGCGTATTGGGGGAGGTAGCTGATATAATTGATGGGTAAATACAAGATTTTTGGGTGACTTTTAATTCGAAATATTGATAGGGAGCATATATTGTAGGCAATAACCTGAACGCACGGGCACTAATGAGGACGCGACTGAGCCGTGTCTGACAATGTCTCCAACTATTAATGTGTCCCGTCTCGAGGTCCCCAACCATGAGAACGGTGGTGACCAGCGCAGCTGAGTTTGCTGGTAATGCCTCTCGTACGTCGCGGCCCAGTCACTTTTGGACCTCTTCTGACTCTTTTCAACCCTCCACAGGGTTGTGTCAAGAGGGCTCTTCGAGGTCGGTCGACTGGCATAATGAGCACGTGGCCGAGCCATCGCAACCTACGGAGTGTGGTCTGTTCCCCTTTCGTGAGTGAGTTAGTTTTTCCGAAAGTCATTTCACGTAATTCGGCATCACTGAATCGCTATTAGCATTGGGATCGAGAAATATTCAGAAAGTATCGATGGTCGAACACTGACAAACTTTTGACGTCCTCAGCAAGCAGCGGCTAGGTTTCTGAAACGTATGATAGCATGGAACGCACCGCAGGACTGTAATCTCGACCCTTGATGGATAAGATGACGGCACATCTATGCCAAAGGTGAGATAGGTTCACAAAAGCCGCACTTGCCTTTTCAATCCGAATGGAGATACCAGCTTTCGCGAGACCACCGGGATTGATACATCTGCTCAGACAAACAAATTCGTCTACTTCTTCAATCTGTTCATCCGCAAGCATGAGATTAGTTTTCAGGCCCATCCAGTCCCACAGAATCACCTTGCACTTTACAAGTATGAAAAGCTTGCCAAAACGTGAGGCAGAATTATTCGGGTTTTATAAAAACAATGTTTTAATTACCACGGCGTCAGATCCAAGAAGAGCTATGCCGGCTGCATATTCGATATATGCGAACAAATGCCCCGGGAGCACTTCGACCCCACATGTATTCGATCCTCGTAGTGAGTCTTTGATAATCGTACCACTAACGAAGTTGAAGAGGAAAAGCGAAAGAGGACAGCCTTGCCCGACATCATTTGATGCAGGGATCTCAGATGAGGGCCTCCCGCAAACCTTTAAATGTCAGCGAGAGTTAGCGTACAGCGCCCTAAGGAGAGTCTTGATGCAGGGATCTCAGATGACGGCCTCCCGCAAACCTTCAAATATCAGCGGGAGTTAGCGTACAGCGCCCTAAGGAGAGTCAGGAATTTATGAGGGACAACTCTGTTAAACAGACAGCTACAGTTCCTAGTGGTCCTCAGGGCCAAAGACCGCCCTTGGATCCAGAAAGACAACAATTTTTGGTTGGTGGAAACAGTCTCTGTTCCAGAATCTGTCGAAGGCTGAAAATATGATCGATGCATCCTCTTGAAGAACGGCTTGGTTTTCACAGATCTGCGTTTCCCTATGTTTAATAATCCTTTGAAGCAGAAGACCAGAACGCATCTTCGGTTTTCCAGGAGATTACGTAAGTGTAACGTCAGGAAACTTACTTCGCAGCTATTCCTTTACCAAGGTGAAGGAATTCCCGCTTGTAATCACTTCTGATGGACGCACGGTTTGAGACTGATGTATTTGTTGTGGAAAAAAGTTTTCTGGCTCACAAATTTTATTTAGTAACACCGTTACATTAAAGCGATAACACCGAAACAGCTACTGAAATCAATCAGTTTTGCATCAATCGCATATCCCAGTTTTGCTGCTTTTCTAAGAATTATGTGAGATCATTTAAATGCGGAAACTTTTGGGAAATAAGAAACTACGCGAAGAATAAACGCGCTTTTTTCCATCCTTAAATAATTTGCTGCACCTATTTTTGGTCTGTGTTGAATGTAAATGGCTAGCTAAGCAGCGAGTAGCGAAGCTCCCCCAGAAACAGCCTATTTTAACATTTCTGTCGTTTTTACTCCTCATGTATTACTTTTGTACTGCAAAACTTGAGCGATTTGCGTCCATGGTATATACAACCAAACCAGCAAAGCCACAAAGAGAGGGGGTGCAGTTGGACGCCAGCATTGTTGTCAAGAAGTATTTGAGAGTGCTGAAGGTGGGCACCTCGGAGTGGTATGATAAACCACTTTCGAATATTTCACTAAAAGGCCTAATTCAAACAAATTCACAATGAAGCACCAGTGTTCTCTGATGTTTCACACACTAGTAATGGCGATGTGGTGTGCATAAATTTGTACTTGTTTCATTAGTCCGATCTGTATATATTGCATATCAGCGACGCAGTCCTTACCACAGCACCAAGTCATCAACGTGGTGCTTTATACGGCATATTTTCGCCAAGCTCAAGTGCATAATTCTCTAATAATCTTAGGGTTTTGGGTAACGCGTTCAGCACGTTTTAGATGGTGCGAATGCGTTGTTTCCTTAATTCCTTGACTTCGCTTAACTTCAAATCTGTCGGCTATTTCAAATTTCGTCTAGGTTCAGCTTTTGTATTCAACTGATCGACCCACTTCGGCGGAAGTTTTACGATTAAGACTAAGGGAGGAAATCTGCTAGTGAACTTTTATGAAAACAAAGCACATAAGTTGTGTAAATTTTTAAAGTCATTGGATAAACTGTCATAATATAAGACAGCGTTGTAGGGTAGTGCAGTCCTTAAGGTTTTCCCTTAAGGTGTAGCAGAGAAAAATATGCATAACTTCATTTTTGATGTTTGGGGCTTCTGTTTTGTCAGTGCTACTGAGAAAGTCAGTGTCATAAGCAACATATTACAGAGTCATTTACTCAACACAACTGTCTGTAATTGCCTACGGACTAGAATCAGCTTTATTCCTGCTTGCAATCAGACATCTAATTGCTCTGCATTCGTGTGATCAATTACATTCCCTGATGGCAGAACTTTTGCTTTCGGTGTCTTAGAAGTCTGATTTTCTGATTTTTTTTTCAGAATTTAGCAACACGATTTGCTATTCCATCAATGTATATCGCAGTTCAGGAACAAATGTAGGTTGGATGGAATAATGTGTCCCTCATTTTGCATTCTGGTAGCACAAAATATGATTTCCACCACTCCTAAGCCCATAGAAACAATAAGCCCACATTGCCCGACGCGTGTTGAAGGCATGAATGTCTAACATGGGGAATCAGAGGAGAAACTCACATAAGGGTTTTCACACTCTACCTGAAATGGTGCAATTTGGAACCTTAACCAGTATTTGTAACTATCGCACTCCTACTAATTCCAGCTGGAGGTGCGACAGCAATGAAATGACGTTCAAAAGGGTTGAGATATATCTCGCTACTGTGTCGCACAAAGTAGTGCTAATTGCCCGACAGCCCTCTCAACGGCTGGCAAAGAATTCAACAGCCTACTGGAAAGTAGCGTTTTTGAAGACTTTCTCTTGTCGGTAACGTGTAATAATAAAGTCCTCATTGAAGTTTGGTGGGGTTCGTTTACTTGGCGCGCTATATGGCATCCCCCATCGTATTAGACTTCAGCCTTTGTAGTTGTGTGTTCCCATGAATGTGTGTTCAGTTTGGCGAGAAACACGGATAGTTTCTTTCTACCAAGTGTTCCCATTGATTACCCTTCTTAATGGGACTATTGTTCACATGCCGGTAAATAGATTTGTGCTTTTAGGGGGAATTGGGCCAGTTCAGTCGACAACCTGTCTTTAATGGTGTTTCACCTATTGTCTAGCTGCCAGTTTATTTTACGCCTAGTCATGCATGATTATCTGGTTGGATAGATATCACTCACTCTTTGCACTGAACTATCCAGCTGTAAAAGTAGTTTAGATAATCTATAAATTAATCACCCATACTAGGTCACCACTATTGCGGTGCATGTATTCTGTTCAGATGGGACGTTCACGAGAAACTTTGGCTACCGTTTGCTGACCGTAGTCCTCAGGGCCATGTGATCGCTTCATGGTCACTGACCTGATGCTCACGGAGTAATCGACCTCTAAAAAATCGAGGGAGGGGGTTGGAATTCACCCAGGGGTGAATTTTGAAGTTAACACAAAACAACACGAATTTCAAGTGGGCTTCTCAAATCGAGTGTCTGATCGAACAAATTTGTCTGATCAACAAATTTGTCGCAGCAAATAACCAATTCTGTGATTACATACGTTCTACTTGCCGAATTTCAAGCTGACTAGGTCATCATTTACTAGGTAAACTACTAAGCAAGATAAAATGTGAACGATCGCAAATTAATAGGACTTAATTGGCTGGTAGTTCGGTGAAATATGCTACGCCGTTGCAAACACTTAATTTCTTTATATAATGTTTCCTTGCCTTTTCTAAAGATAAAACGTCCTGAATGGTTCCCATGTATTCTGAACTGACGGAAATAGTGGCTGGGTTTACCCAAATCGTTTAACGGTGTGATATCAAACTTTCACACACATCGCCAACTAATGGTAACAATTGGATCAGTTCAGACTATCACATGACTGCAACCTACATAAATGTGCCCTTGCTTATGCAGAAGTAAGCGTAGTGGGAAACCTCGGGAAAAGCTGAGCATGGACCGTACACAAACGTTAGTAGAAATAGAAGAGTTCGACGAACTGTCCGCATTTTCTGGAAGAGTTCCTTCAAGAATCCATTACGAGCGAACACACCCAGCTTTACACACAAATCGGCCGATGAATTATCGTGCTTCACTTCTCAAAGTACTACTGAAAAAATGCAGTAATGCAAATGGGCTTTACTCAGTTGCCATCAGTAATTAAACATGTCCCTACTGATAAGTTTCTTTTGATATTCAACAGTCAGTCACCATTATTGGGTATGGCTTTCAAGTGCATCTTACCCTACCTGTAAACCAACACAGGCCGACGATCGAGGACGTGGGGGTACCTTAAGTTTGTTGACGGTTTACCAATGTTCACATGGAACGTTTGTGCCTTACTTGCTCTCAGTTAACTGACATCCCGCTTCATTTGGTGCTCCCATTCGCCCTCCTCCTAAGCGTGATTCAGTTCCAGAAATTCTGGTATATCAAAGAACTGTCTATACAGATGTCGGAAAATGCGTCCGAATCCAGTACCTCTGTTTCAAAAATTGACGTGTCTGAAACCCTTCAGAACAGGTAAGCAGCAATTCATACTCATTAGTGATCATAAAGCCAAGGAAGTTTTGAGTATCCAGAGAGAAATAGCTTGGTGTCGCCATCTACTGGCATTTTCCACATCGCTTAAAAACCCATTTAGCATGATAACGCTGTAATGTAATGTAGATAACGAAGAAAGCTTATCTCAGCCATTGGTTTCCACTAGGAGATTTCTACCTCCTACCTCCTACACCAACCCTCTACCGGAATGAATCGCATCCTTCCCAAATCATTCAGATCGTCGTACCGGAAACCTCCATAGTGAACCTATAGTTAATTTTCAAACGATCTTCGTCATATCTCTTCTTCCAGGCAGCCTAACCATGGAACTCTGTACCACTATCTGTATTTCCGTCCTCTTATCCTCATTTATAAGAGCACCTTAGACATCCACAGTGTACGAGTTCACGTAGGAAGGCCTCGGGTTATTTTTTCCTGCCAACTTTTTTATCCACTGTGCATGTAACAAAGCCTTTGAAGTTAGACCATGCTGTAAAAGCCAAACACTGAAGTTTTTCTACTGATGAAAATTTTTACTTTGCTTGCGTGCTAAATTAGCAGCTCAGCAGGCCGGAAAATTTTAAAACCTCATGCCGAGAGGAGCTTTTTATGACCACTGCGCTCCAGTTGAATCGTTCTTAACAGTTAGTTTTTTTTAGTTAATGGGTGCACTTAAAACGCACCACTGCACCGTCGGTGATTGCGATCGATTATATACGCCGGTTGAAGCCAACAAGTAATCAATGTGCAATCGCATGTACAAAACTTCCCTCACAGAATTCAATACTCAGGCATCAGCCGGTTATTTATTGCCAATTTTTATGGCTGTTGTGTCTGCAGCCAAAGATGAATTTTGTCTTGTGGTTCTTTTTGTTTGACCTGACTATTGCCCAGCACTTTACCCCACGATGGGGTCCACGCCTACCAAGAATGCGTCGGCCCTTACCAGGGTCCCATCCGTGGCCACGATTTTACCGTCGAACATTCTGGTTTAGGCATTCAAAACCACCAATCCCGCCGGGTCATTTCGCATACCATCCAATGCCTCGGTTCCCAGTGCGCCATCTGGCACATCATCATGCACCACAACCAGTTTACAATCCTCCACCGCCCGAACTCGCGTTTCATTTCAAGCCACAGATAGGTTTTCAGTCAAACATTCATCAATTCCAAAACGGCGAACAAGCGTGGCAAAGCAACCCAGTAGGTGAGGAGACCAGCCTCTACAAAAATACTCCTGATGGATCACTCGCTAAGGGTTACGTGGATCCCCTGAATACAAAGAAGACTGGTGAGTCAGAAATACAACTCAAAAAAGATGAGTATCATGTTACGAAAAAGGAAAATGAAGCTTCCAAAGTTGCGGAGAAGGAAGATTTAGTTGTCCCCCCAAAAAAGACAGAATCTTTAGAAATTGGCCCCTATGACAAATGGTTGCAGATGTACAAGAGGCGGAATCTGCTGAACGACAAGTATTCAGAGGAATCAGAGGACGTTAACTACGGCATTCCTCAGCTTAACACCTACCCGAGAGATGAAAAAGAAGAGCCATCCTTATGGCGAAAGAAACAGGATTCTACTGAATTGGATGATAACTATTCAGGGAGTGAATTTGATGCTGTCGAACAGGAAACATATGAAAATACGGTACCGAAGAAATTCCGCTCTAAAGTAAGAGTCGGTGGCGATAATATGGATGAGGATATGTACAAAAGTAATACGAAAGAACGAATTGCTGATGTATACAAACCAGAGTTACACAATGGCCTGTCATTAAAGAAAATGCATATGAACTCTTTTCCTATGGATGCATTAGCCAGTAAGGAACTGGATGAAATTCGAAGGCACATAAAAGCATTCGAAGATCGTGATGAGAGATATTCAAAAAAGGTGCACAAACTTGGAACTACATGGATGGACTCTGACGATTATAAATTGAACAAGCTTCTTGGACACAATATCCAAACAAACTTATACAATGATGAAGAACGAACAACACTTCGAAGACATAAATCCCCTTTTGCAGGTAACAAAGCTAGGGAACTTGCAAGACTCCGCAGTCAAGAGAGGCTTTTGAAGAAAAGCAAGCCACGCGGAATGAGAAAAGTCAAAGATATGAGGGACACATTTGAGTATTTGAATTCTGAGTATTTGGCACCAAAAGGCGACCGCAAACGCAAAGCTTTAATGAGACAATTGTCGAAACATGTTCGAGGACGCAGTCGTTCCACTGTGTATGTTGGTGACCACAAGTCACCTACGAAACCATCTGAGAAGTTTCCCAGTAAAATTTCGAATGAAGGAAAAAACAATCGTCATGGGAGGCCTGCCAAAAATGTTCGCAGCGCGTTCGCAGAATATGGCAGGTATAAGCCTGTTGAAGTTATTGAGGAGGAGGAATATGTAGAAGATCATGCAGTTGATATTGGACCGGCCATACCATTGAACAGTTATAATAACTATTATTATTAAAAGCCCTCTGGTACATATATGAATAATGGATTTGCGGGAATCCATCCGGTATCCGAAAAATGGCCATCCGGAGGAAATTTTATATTTTAATCTAAACAGTTTGCACTTCCTGTAATTGTCTAAATATATGTGTATTTCATGATTAGATTAAATGTCTCCCTTCTTTGCTACTGTCGATTCCATTTGTTTGCCAGAATAATACAGGGAGAGAATGTTGGCAATCGTGCAAGGAAGTAGTAAATTCATCTTTGTTGGGCTGTTTTAACCACATTAGATTGGGTGCTAATATGAACAAATCTAAAACTCTTGTGAACCACCATCGAGGGTTACAAGACTACAAACTAGAAGCCAGTGTACTGCTTGCTAAACTGATCAGGCTACTGTTGACAGCAGTCAATGTTTACTGAGTAATGATGGTTACACCTGTTCATCGTGCCATTCACGATATTAGGGAGAGTGGTTCTTCAAAGTTGCTCGCTGATCATTGATTATGCTCAACCAGTAAAAAGATTGCTAAGCAAACGCCATTCCTGCATATTCAGTGACAAGAACGGTCTGGATAAAGCCAAGCAAGTTTTGTCTTCTTTAAAAGCTTGATGAAGGCAAACTAAAAAAACCTTATACAGGGGTATCTCGACCTGTTCTTTCATCCAATGTGATCCTTTTTTCCTCTTCAATCCATTAAGTTAGTAATAGAGTCAGGGTTGTTAAACATTATCAGATATTATTTGAAGTTACTTCATGGCTACCTACAAAATTCACTTTAAAAACGGGACTATAACAAGCATTTCCCCTCCAAATCAAACTGTATTCTGAGTCCAGCTATATTCTCTGCGAAGCCCAAGTTTAAATAGTTGCATGGTTAGTTTGCAATGCCAAATGGGAACTTGGCTGAAGCGGAATCGAATAGCGAAAATGATCCGTGTATCCAAAAACCTGTCCTGACCAGCTGGCAGTTTCATACGTCCAGGGTTCAAGAACAATGATAAAATCCTGGCTTGTTTAGGCGCGTGATCCAACACTGCTGCCAACTGCACGGTGAAATTTCCCATTAGCCAAGACTATAAACCCGAAAAATACGCGTTAGAGTAAAGTGAGCGTCCTGCAATGAAATCACGTCGGTGGTCTAATTGTCTGGCTACGGAGTGTTCATCACATTGTTTAGCTTAAGTCATATTGCCTATACGTGATTTTTCTGGGTTTCAACATGCATACCATCATCAGGAAGGACGGACACTATCCTTATTGCATGGTTATTGAATGTTCACGGGGAGGCAAATAAAGTGACACAACCAGCCCGTCAGCACTTTGTTGAGGCCAGCAGCGCTATAGTTGATTGCACACAAAGTTGCTCACAGTCGATTACACGATAGAACGTGATTGTTCAATGGAGAAGGGTAGAAGACAATTCATGTGTGAAACATGAACTGAGATTCCGCTAGTAAACTCGTAACATTCCCATAAGCTTATTTGTATTTCATACCCTATTTCCTGTAAAGCGACACTGATAATGCAGTCCAACTGGTTGGTACCAGTACGAATATAATCAGACCTGGTTTCTCTTCCCGAAATTCAACTTAAATACTGAGTAAACTCCGCACATTCGTCATTCTTTATGTCATCAACTTAGATCTTTTTCTGGTTCATTAGTCTCCGCAGCTTCACTGCCTGGAAGCTATGGGTGTATATAGGACTCTGAGATTGAATCTGAGCGCACACCATTACGTCTCAAAGATTTGAAGTGGTTTTTCATGTACCGGTTGCGATTTATGCATTCTGCGAGGAAATCCAAACACTTACTTCGTACAGCAATTCTTTTTCTAAGCATACTAGTGGCGGACAATAGTTGGGGACGTCGTAGATGTTGGCGAAAATCAGATGTTGCACCCTTCAGTAACACTCTACGGAATATTAAAAAAGAGCTGTAAACCCTCCCACCTCTCCAAAGTACGGGACGGAAACAGAACACACATAGCCAATCTGAGTGATTCACTGGAAGAAGCCCGCTTGTGATACCACCCAATGGGTCGAGCACGCTAGGTTCACAGTGACAGATGTATAAGAAGAATCAAGATAGATGGAAATAAGTTCGGATGAATCCTCAGTATCAGAGGACTAGAAAGCATGGACAGAGCCACTAATGAAACGTGACAAGAAGCTGCATATTCTTGCTGAGTTTATGACCGCCACATTCCAAACATTCCTCCATCTTCTCCGTAAAGGTAGTTGCTCCTCCACGGAGCCATTATCTTGACGCTTTTCACCTAACCCGTGAAAACGTCCGTTTGCAAATTCCAAGCACAATAAAGACATTTGTCCTTTAAAAGGTTAATTTCCAGCCCCTGGATGCTGAAGATAAGTTTTCGATTGTCCGTCTTGGTAATAGCAACAGAAAGTGATATTTGATTTATCGTCATTTGAGTGTCAGTCATTCATACGATCTTGATGGTGATGACGTGAGATTAATCCGTACAAAGTGAACTTGGAGTTGTGTGCACACATAACGCCTAGGGGAGGAAACAAAAGTAACTACCTCACAGGCTGACTCAACGTGGAGTGTTGAGTTGATTGGAGACGATCTGTCTCGTCTGGGCAGATCACCAACATGGGAGACCGGTACCTTGAGACACTTCTTTGTTATTCTCTGGAGGCCTCTGTTCATCAACAGAAACTTTTCAAAGATAGTTGATCCTGGTCCTTCGGTGATGGAAGAGGAACTTTGTACTTCTGAATGAGATAAGTTGTGAACTACCATCTCTTTACTTGATGGATCATATTCTTTTCGGGAGTTGCTAAGTGAATACAGGAAAGGGTCCTTAGAGTCCAATCCAACAAATTACTTTTAGGTGGTCAGAAAAATACGGAGCTTATCCTTCTTGTGTAATCTACGGCACTACGCAGCATCTTCGCTAGCCACTCGTGAAGTACTGTGGTCACCCGGTGCGCACGAATCACATCAGCAGAGGCTTTCGTATCGTACAGTGCAAAGGATAACTCATTCTTTTCTAAAGGCTACAGAAAAGAAGACAAAACAACCTGGATTTTAGATGTAACTCTTCAAGGCAACTACATGATGAATACACTAATCGTTCGCTCTAATTGATCTCAAGTTGCTTTAAAAACGTGGTTCGGTCTAGTAAAATTTATACCGACCAGAAACATGACAAAAATCGACATGCAAAAAAACAAGCATTACCAAAATGGAACAAAAATGAGTTGACGAATATGTTTTTGGCAAGGTCTTTCCAACTCATACATTAGTTAGCACGATCGAATAGGCAAAGTGGATATGAAAGAGGGGACCAAGTGGGAGATGACCTTGGCTATCTGTCAAGAAACAATTAGTCCATGTCACCAAAAGCCAAAAATGACCTGCGGATATCAGTGCAGGCTGTACTTTGGTTGTGGATGTATGTGGGGGGATAATCTGGACTAGCTGTTAAACAAAACGCCTTTTCTAACAGAGAAACGGACCACGGCGTCAGATGAACATCATTGCGATTGTGCAGTATGTTACACATTTAATGTGCATCGCGAGAGGAGTGGCAACTAAAAGTTGCTTACTTCCATACTGTTGCAAAAGTAGTTAATAGTTGCAAGCGAGGGGACTTAAGTAAACACTGGATTCATAGCGGATGTACCCATATACACATCTTCGAAATCTAGGTCCTTGTTTGGATCCACGAAAAAGAACGTACCGCACAAGCTGTTCTGGTTACACTGGTCGACATGCTAGCAGCATTTCGATGAGCCCCGACGTGACTCTGGCAAGTCGAGAGCAAAATATTTGGAATCGGCATCAGATGGTAGGTCGGTTCACAAACTTTGGACAAATCGTGTGAGCGAGGTGTTGCTGAACCTTTATTTTTGAGTATTTTACGAGTTGTTTTAAGTGTTAGGTCACCTTTCTTTCGATAGACGCTGTGTCCCTACCACTCACCGTCTGATAGAACTTCGTTGTCAGCCATACACTTGTTCACCATCATTTGCATCCATGATGATCATTGCGGTTTAGTTTTTTTGAAGCAGCTGGTCAGGATTTCTTTTCGGCACGTAGCCAACTTAATGAATCCACCGATTTGTTTGTCACCATATACTGAAGGTAGGCTTTGCAACTTTCCTCCCTTTCTGTAGAAACTTGTGAAGTGAAATTCTTATTGTCAGATGACTGAGAACAATTTGCAGCAAAAAATTATTGTCGGATGGACGGAGATAGTAATCGATCCCACAGCATGCAGTTTTATAGGCGAAAACACCTGAAATTTTGGGTATATCTATTCTCTTTCTTATTGTCGGATGGACGGAGATAGCAATCGATCCTACAGCATGCGGTTTTATAGGCGAAAACACCTGAAATTTTGAAATGATATCTAGCTGCTTATTGCGACATATTTGAAAAACACTTGAAGCAAAAAGTGTACATCTTGTCTTGAGTTTTACCATTGCTATTTCTCGCAGTCAAGATAAGCGTCTACCTGTTAACAAGGTTATCATACTGCCACGTTTTTTATGATAGTTACTGCATCTTCAACACCTCGGTCGTTTTTGTCGTGCATTCTATACTAGAGTTAACTGTGTGCAAATCGCATACTAAGCTTTATGGAACCGTTGCGTTTACGACAAAGTGAGGTTGCTAAATCATTCTGCACAATTGATATTGACGTCTTCCAAATAATCACGAAAGTGCACTTGCGCATTTCATCGACATTAATGTGCGCGCATCAACCAGATGGCTAGATTGCACTAGCAGGAAGTTTGTGGTCATTATAAATTGCTCACAGGCACCAGTCGCCCTTGCAAAGAAACATGAAGCTGGTCGCAATCCTTTTGGTGGTCTTGCTGCCTGCCGTGCTTGGTGACGGCTACTACGGCCCACACAGTCGTGGACATGGTCGCTTCTACAGAGGTGCCTATGGAGATCACACCGGTGGGCAAACTGCCGCCTCTGAGTATGACCTCAGGGGACGTTTGAGCCAGCGTGGAGAATCCAGCTACAGCGGAGAGTGGGACGCTCATGCACGTGAAGATGACAAAGACTTCTACGAAATGGGAGGACGATATGCTGTCTATGGCAAGGCGTCAGATGACACTGACTATGGTCTCAACGCCTACCTGAAGGCCAAGGGTAGATTTTACGGTCACGGAAATGAAGAACAAGGCAGCAAGTTTGAACAGTTCACCAAATTCCGTCGTGGTGGGGGACACGATAGCTATGGCAAGAAGAAGCACTACAACGACTACGACAGTTATGGTCAAATGAAGAAATATGGCAACCGCGATGTTTCCAGCAAGTTTGAACTGTACGGGAAACTGAAGGCCAAGGGGAAATTCGATGCCTACGGTAAGAGCGACGTTGCTAGTGAATTCGACAAATACGGCAAATACGGACAATCTGGCAGCAGCAAAGATTACGCTGACCGCGATTCCTACGGCAAACTCAGTGGCTATGGCAAGTACAAAGCCTACGGGAAACTGAGCGGCTATGGTTCCAAGGATGATTACTCGAAATACGGCCGCCACGCTGACTATGATGAGCTTGGATACTAGACTCCGTTAGCGGTTGTCATGTTGTAATACATTAGTGGTAAATAAATCCATACTTAATATTCGAATGTTTTAATCTGTCAAAATGTTTCACCTAAAACGTGGTGACAATATATCAGCACTCAAGAAATAGCAGTCGCCGCTAACTGGTAGACCGAATTCGTAGTGAAATCCAAATGCTTGCGCATTTATGTGTAATTGCATTTTTGACCGGATAAGTACAACAGTTATTTAAATCAGTGAGAGCGGAACAAACTAATACAAACCCGTTCCAGTGCAGATTTTCTGGCTTACTTCATTATCGTTAGCCCAAAATGCAAGAAGCTCAACTACTGATCAGGAGACGCATTCTAAATCGAAGTTTGAAAAAATTTCTGTTCTCTATCGCCCTGCATTTTCGAAAATTTCCCCCATTTGTGACGTTATGCTGTTTTTAGCCGGTCCAATCAGCATGCCCATGACAGCATCTTCTCTATTGTTAACTTCCCATCGCTTTCGAAATCGTTCGTAATGTTGTTACTTGTTACTCTACTCTCTCGGCATGTGATTCTCATAGGGGTGGGGGGATACCAAAATGTTGACTTTTGGAAATTCTCTCGGTACTTCCGTATTTTCCTAATCTCATAATATTTCAAAAATGAAGATGACTGGTGTATCATAAGAATTTAAACGTGGTGCGAAAAAAGTGACTGGCTGCATTTACTAATCGGTGAACCAAATTGAGAAGTTTTTCCTCCTTAGTTTGAATGGATTATTGAGCACGATTTTGTAATGTCATTATCACCCGATTATGTATTTGACTCAACCCTGCTGAAAGAAGTGAGCCAGAGACTGCTGGATGGATCCGACTTACAGGCCTAAGGAATCAATCTGCTTCAATTCTTTATTATCAGCGTAAGTAGTTAAAAAATGTTTGGTGTTACAGCGAACAGCCTATTCGTCTTCAGTGAAACGGGTGTTCTGTAAAGTCACTTTGGGAACTTAAGCCACAGAGAACAGAAGTTTAGCGCAGACGTTTTGGAAATACAACTTTGAAGACCTCGTGGTTCGAGCTAAAAAAAACTTAAAAGTGTACCCGAAGCACCAAATTCTCGCTTTGCTGACGGCTGGCTATCAGCCGCGCTCCAAAATTCATGGAATTCACTTTCCCGTGTGCTTTTCCACAAATCTATCTAATGCATTGGGAGTTAATGTGTTTTAACGCCACCAGTGGGCCTCAAGTTTTCGTGACAAGCAAGAAGCTAATATCATCCAGATGTCTAATAGGCATTAATGAGCACTGATTACTGATAGAAGTGGAATTTGAAAGTGCAAACTCCGCGCACGAGTAGGTACACCGGTACAGCTGAAACACCAATTCAGACTTAATGCAAATCCCGGACTGGTAGCTTTGAGACAGACAATAAATAAACGATCCCTTCCTTCTTATGCCATAAAGTTTGCTCTTCATAACTCCAAGTCACCCTAGTTAAACTGGATGAACTGAGCAGGCGGACTCGTTGCTGAAAACATGACGCTGTGATAAAAGTACATGGTGGCTCTAATGATGAATTAAAGGGGCCAGAGAGAGTTTTCTTCGGTTGTGTTTTCAGAGTATTACACGGTGAATAAACCGGCTTTACTATATCTCATCTTTAGGGCTTTTCTTGCTTGGAAGCTTTTTATAACAGAAAAAACTATTGGTGAATGAAAGCAGATGCTACTGCGTAAAAATTGACGAAGATAGATGGATAATTTTCTGTGTGTATTGCTGATGACATCCAAGATATGCTATTTGTGAAGAGACGTTCTACACTACTTCATACATATGGGTCACCGGTCTTCATACACCATTGCTCATTGAGTCCAGCTAAACGATTGATTTGAGTCTTTGCTCGCATTCTTCGGGCATCTATGTGGTGCTTTAGATACTAGCATCTCTTTCTGGCCACACGAATGAGCAGTTAGAGAGAAATACTCTATTTAGGTCCAAAGATATCGGGGTTAAATCGCTCAGAATAAATTACTTTGAAGTCATTGACACAAAAATAACCTTCTGGGGATTACAAGGAGCTCATCACTACTAAAGAAACAATCCATCATTTCCCGATTAGCTTATGTCGTCCACCCAAATTTATTAGCAAGCAAAACAGATACAAACAAGCTAAACGTTAGGAGAATTCACACAATAAGTTATGGCATTTCGTTGCATCTGCTGACAGAGTACAATAATCAAACCTCAGGGACTCTCCAACAGTTATGAATCGAACAAAGCTTCGTAAGAAACCCCAATACGTCTGTTTAGTAACGGTCATACTGAACAACCATGGACTTGTAAATAAAAACAGAGCTGCCTTCGGAATTTAAGTTCCAACATTTTGATTTAATCTCCCCATCCTATTTGTCAAAACTATTCCCCATTCAATGTAGACAGACATGAACTGATGTGAGGATATGTGGTTCTGCTGGAGGACTTGTCAGCTGCTGCTCTTTCATCTCAGTATCATCTGGTTTCTCCATTTCAGTATTGGCCGCGCTATTGTACACTGCTTCAGTAATTGCACACGGGTGCTGAAAAGGCCTTGCGCTTGTCCAGACTTTTGAGTTTACTGTTTGAACAATATTATATTGGTCGCGCTATTGTACACTATTTCAGTAATTGCACACGGGTCCTTTTTGCTGAGAAGGCCTTGCGCTTGTCCCGACTTTTGAGTTTACTGTTTGAACAATATTGGCTACCACCAACCTCCAAGGTGAACCAAAACTAACTGTGAACATTTGACTTATCTTCACACCACCTAATTAATAATATTCCGCCTGCGGGAGGTTTGAATAACATTATGGATTCCTTAGGGTCGTTACCCTCTACATCCAAATTGTACAGTCCACTAGTTGGTAGAATGCAGCTTTTTATGGGAATGAGTGACGTTATATGCTTGAATGTGCACACTTGAATATTTAGGGCTGATTTCTGACGCCAGACACTACAACCGTCCTAGTTTTGTCGCAACTAACCAAGTTGAACGCCTCTGAAGCACTGTGAATATTTCTCTGAGGTTAGGGGATAAGCAACAATCTTTGCAAACACAAAGGAGGCAGAATTTTGTTAGCCGAAGCTCTTCAAGCATGTTGGAAGATTTCACCAATTCTTACAACAATCAATGGCAACAGAACAGTTGGCAGATCCACACAGGATTTCTCAACGTTAAACCTAGCTGCTCCAGTCAATTACAATTGAAATGTGATCCACAGCCTCCTAGTATCATTACACACCACTCGAGAATGCACGGAAATGACAACAGTAAGTTGAAACTCAGCATCTGTGGTACTCTGTGGAAATGCTGGGCCTTAATTGGTGACATTATATCCTATTATGTAGTATATGCATTATAGAGGAGCGAGAAGGCTCAAGTAATTACACTGCGAATTCACTGACTGGGAAGTCCGTGGTTCGAACCCGACCTCTACCTCTCGACTTCCCCTGTCTAGGCTTGGGCAACTTGACGGTATCTCAGGCTTGGTGTCTTATTCGGGTGGCATAGCAGCTAGATATTTGAAGGGTGTTACAGCTGATCGATACATTGTATAATGTATATTACATATATATATATATATATATTATAGCATATTTCAAATACCTACGTTCATGACACACAAGCTTTCATAAACTTTCCGCAGTTCAATGGTCTCACAGTGCAGTGACATACCAGTCAACATGAAAACATTTGATAGCAAATGAATAGCAGTTATATTTCTGGTCGTAGTGCTAGTTTGGAAAATTGAGAGATACTTGTAAACCAAAGCAAAAACATCAGCCATCCGAATTAGCGATAAAGCGGCGTTGCGTGCGGCTCTAAGATTCTGTATGGCCGCGAAAGTGTCCACAGAAAGCGCTATAATGGCGAGTAGCAAGGATTGTAACTCTTCCCTATCATTCGTAGCACGTTACCGCCTGGACGGTTTGGAATCATGACAGAAATACCAGGCATGCTCGCGTTGGCCGCACTGGAAACACTTAGCATCTCGAGGAAGACTGGTGAATCAGTAATGGTGCATGTCAGGTGGTACCTTAGACCGAAAACTTCCTGAAAATGAGGGCACGATTCTGGCTTATTTTTTGGTCAATCCTTAGAGACCTTCAGAAGCATGCAGAAACATGCACATCTGACCGTATTTACCACATCAGCAACAAGACCAAAGCGTTCAAGAAAGTGTCAACATTTTTGGACATCCTTTTAACGCACAATTCAATCTCAAGTCCGTTTGTTTTCTCTCTTGGCTCAACACCTTTTTGGCTTTCCTGGGAATATGTGTATGCTGGTTGTGTTGGTTTGGGTGTTGGTTGCACAATTTTAACAACTCGTTCAACTGTTTTGCAATTATACAGATATGGTGGGCGTACTGCCCTCTGAACATACGTCACATATGATGAGTAATTTGAGAATATTGCTTTATTTACTTCACTCACTTATTGGGCTCATTTGCAGGAAAATTCCTAAATATTCTCATACTACCGACAAATTATAAGTAGCCCAGCGAAAGAATAATCTCACAAGGTGAGTGGAACTTCCGTTTGAGATGTCATCACTCGAGGACACAGCTAGCACTTACTCACGTAATGTGAACACCCTGAGTGTCGCTAGATAATCTCCTCGTGCGAGTTAATCAAACTGCTGGAATGCTGCTTGTGACCGAACGGTTAGTTATTCACTCTATCATCCGGTAGGTCTTGGGTTAAAAACTCCTCTCAGTTTCGTAAGATGTGCACAACCAGTAGAGATAAAACAGCTCTGCAAAGCTCCTCCATTTTTAGGCTAAATAAGGTACACTTAGAGAGCGAAATCTCAATTGGGACTTCCCAGCTCTTCTGACACTGCCAACAAGAATATCACCAGTTTGAATTTCCGGCGCCCGCTTCATCTATTCTTAAAAACTGCAAACATTTACGTTCTATGGTTAGAGCGTTCAGTAATGCCCGCTATGCCCCAAATTTTTTACGGCTAAATGCCGCTTTCTGATTTGTTCGTTATCAACTGGGTAATCCATCATATCCATGAAAGCTCGGTGAAATGCAACTAAGATGCACCTACGTGCGCTCTGGAAGCAGGAATTCCTCGTTGCCTGGAGAAGAATCTCCAAGAAGTTGCCACTGGTGTTGAAATAATTGAATAAGTCGGACATTCAGTCTTGGAGGCTGTTAATCCATATACTGTTCGATTTTCTGGTCGCCACAGACATTTTTGACGGCATAACCATTCCCATCCAAAAGGTGAAAGGAACTTATATGTTACTCAACATTTTGAATGATATTGACGAAACGTCAAAACTTCTGTCGCCGCTTTTGAGCTTCGAACTTCGGTCGTCTCCTATCGTAGCACACCCCTGTTCAAATTTGTTTTGCTTGTTATGCACATAAAGTGTGAAATTAGTTTATTTTAACACATCGTCCAAAACCTTTTATGCCCAGAATATTGTTCCCGATGTTTCAAGCCAAACCTGCTCAGGACATGTGTTCTGCTAAGGGCTCGCTAGACCATGGCAACTATCCGGCAAGCTGAAACAGGTTTGTTTGTTGAGAATGATGTGCGCTATTGTTTTTGGAAACAAGGGATAAAAGAATTTGTCCGCAAATTGTCCAAACGATAAATCGCCATAGCTGATATTCACTGTGGGGTCAGGAATCGTTCACAAGAATCTCTACGTCGAATTCCCAGAAACTTCTCAAAGAGCGATTACACCCATCCAGATACCAATCCAAATGGAAAAAGTCAACTTCTGTTGCTCAGGAGAAGCCCAACTTGGCTGCAAAGCTGTATGTTTTACCAAACCCAAAACCTGTACCTGCATTTATTTAGTGTTATTCATCACCGCAAAGAGCACGCGAAGTCAATAAAAATATGTGCATGCCAAACGGAAGTTGGCGTCTCTTTCGTATGTTCCTGTCGTAGTGAGTAAACATTGGCAAAAGGGACACCAAGCTAAGCATAATCATAGCGTTCCGGGACGTAACGAACACAGCTCGTATATGTCATCATCATCTTTTTTGAGGAAAGCTTATGGCCGTGTCATATTCTGTCTTTCCACTGTTCCCTACTACCACTATATGTTTCGACTGCCGTTTCCATATGTATGGCGTTGCTGTTGCATCACGGAAGCCGGTAGTAGTATCTGAACATGCCTTACAGCAACCTATCAGCAGCAGAATGTGTTCAGGATTGTTCATCCTTATTTTCTTGGAGGCCAAGACAAGTCTTTTTAAAACACTGGCCATTGCTGCTCCCAATTCAGAACCGCCATTTAAGGTTGCCAGTATTCGTTTTGCATTTGAAGACGAGTTTTGCTTAGTCTTCCCGTCGATTCTGTGACCAATATTCAGTTGCAAGCACCACCTCACCACAGATCATTCTGCTGAATACAACCAGGCGTTGCTACAATTTCCTTCCACACAATGACACTATGGACATTCATAAACTGACGATGGTGCTTCGTTTTTGATTTGGAAGGAAACCTCCAGCCAGAGCCACATGTTTTCATGTTCTTTGTCAGCGTTCGTTTAAACACGGCAGTTCAATTTTTACGTTTTTTTCTGTTTGCACAAGATTTCATTGCTGCTGCTGCCAAAACTAGATTGTGTTCTGTTCTCTTTGTTAAGTCCACATGGCCTGGTGTCTCGAGGGGGCTGTCACGTTTGCAATGACATGGGTGTATCCGATGTTGAACGCATGTGTGCTAGACGCAATGTTGACTACATCAAGGCAGAGGTGAGCGATACTGGTGTTGTAGCTAAAACGGGTCCGCTGGATGCGGTACTCTATCCTCCGGCTGCTGTCGTATATCGAGGCAGCAGCTAACGTCACCGAGGAGCCATAGCCCACCTGGAGTATTCAGGTTCACCAACCGATGACCCAACTGGCTCAGAAGTTACCAACGTATTCCTGAGCGACAAGGGAAGTGTTTGTGATACTAGTGGCTCTGATTATGGCCACAATGCACCAGGACATGTGTGGAGCAGCTGCTGTTGCAGGATCTTTTAAAACACCCGCATTGCTGAAGCCTGAAAAACTACTGCTTCATGGCAACCTGGCAATAGTCGGGAACATTATCGGTTCGAATGCTTATGTTGGCGACGAAATCATAGCTTCAGGTGCTGGACTATGCCTATTTGTGAACAACACTGATGCCTATCCTTTTAAACCCGTACGTCACTTTCGTAGTCGCTCTCACACTTTTGACATCAAGGGTTCCAGGAGTATCCAGTGTGAAATTTTTGTACGACCCTCTCCAGCTCTTTGTACATTTTTACTACATAAATTAATTTTTGTGCATCCAGAAATTTCCATGTCGGATTCTTTTGATTTATAACAACAATCCAAACGGTCTCTCGTGAGATAGACATATCAAACAATGATCAAGTTTCTCCCTTCGGTTTCTTTTCCTTTCAGTAAACCGTATGTGGCGTTAGTCAATAAATTGTTTTTTACAAGTCTTTTACTTGGACTAATACCGTAAGTAAAATGGAAGCAAAAGAGTTGAGTATCCCAGTAGCTTAGCAGTACTTTGCGGTGGAAAACCTAAATAATTTTCTGTCACCCTAATGGGTCCCTCTTCTCTGGGGGTGGGAATAGCATACATCCACAAAGCCCTTTAAATACGTGTCACGTCAAGGAGATCAAGTACAAGCGACTATTCAGTTCAACAAACAATGTCTTTGTCCCCAGCTTCGAAGTTTTGTAAGACTGATAAAATCAAGCGACCTGGTATTTACATTTCGTTTGGTTTTTTCATATTTTGACTAAGGGAAATTTCCAAGACAGTATGTTCGATGACTCATCCGCAACTTGAAATCTAGGAATTTTCCCCTAGGTTGGAATTCACTTATATGTTTGTTGACTTAAGCCACTTTCGGAATTGGTTTCAACTTCATTGATTGCGGTCATCAAATCTTGATGCGGTCCCGTTAAACTTTATAACACAGGTTGATGATACTATATATTTAATTCACTTTTCCGAAGATTCTGTCCATGATAGTGATGCAGGGCACTGAGATCAATATTTTACGGTCGAGCAGACCCTATTTGAGGAAGTTTCCAAGTGGGCTCTATTCCCACCTCAGTGCTGATTGATTTCAAGAAAGGCAACCCACCTGGGCTGTGAGGTCCTGTACAAGAGGAAACTCGTGGAAAATGTCCCGATAACACTCTGCTGCAAATTTTAAAACACATATATACAGTTGAATCCGACACTTTTGAAATTGTTAAATTCGGAGCATTTTCGATTGCGTCTGAGTTCCAGTCAGCTGCACAGTAGATACTGAACGAACTCGCTACATTTCTGGAGTGAGGCATTCAAACGGAGCCCAGAACTGACTGTAGGTGGCCTATAAACTCCCTTATGCATAGATTTGGTTTGATTTGCTGTAACAGCCAGCGAGTTACGAGGGAGCTTGTCTGTGAAAATGATATAAAGAATTCAAAATACTACGTTCAAAGGAAATGCTACTCAAGCGTGAAAAAGATGAAGGATGTTGTCTTAATTGAGAATGGTTTTCAGTGCCTCACTTCCGTGGGCAGATCATCCACTACAAAACCGTATGGTGTCGGACTACAATGCGAGGTTCATGTGGCAAAGCATCTGACGTATTTCCTACGCCCGCTCTTAGACTGAGCACACCTAGTTGCAGAGTTTTTTCTGACATTTCTAGCGATTTAAATTCTCAACATTCCTTTGGCACATATTTTCACGCATATTATAGTAGAGAAGACGACAACTTGGCCAAGGGGGGTTGCATTCGAACACAGGGCTTCCACAAATACGAGTGTTTTTGAGGGAGCATATCTAACCATTTCTAGTATTCCGGTGAACTAGGTTCTACCGTATAGGCTGCTACCGGTCCTACGGATTGGGGTCGTTCCATAAATCTTTTGCACGGCTTTCCTCTCGAACATAACAGCGTTCACCCCGTAGTTATTATATTATGTTTTTCTCGAGTTTGAGCATCCACTCTAAGACTGTCAGAAGTCTGAGGTCTTTATTACTCGTGAAATTCTCCCGGAAAAGTCCCCGCAAGTCACTGGGCTACCAAATGAAAAGTAGACGGGATTGGAGTCGTGTTCATTTTCATTCTGGTTGGCTCACCGATTCGAAGAGGGGAAGTTTTTTGATGAGAGAGCCGTTGGGCAAACAAGTATGAAGGGACACCGCCCTCATTTCGAAACTACGCGGGGGTGCTGAAGTCACCCATAACAGTAGGTCTATCTGTTGTACAGTTTACATGATCGAAACATTATCAGTGTCCACCGTTCTTCTCTGGGCTAGGGAGGAGTGTGGAGGATAACAAATTTGAACCTATGTCTGACCATTGTGTAAGACAGTATCATTGAGGATTTCCAAGTGCGGACTGTAAAGGCACTTATCCTTGATTAGAATGTGCTGATCGATTGTCACAAGTGATGGTATCTAGTGTAAAATGAAATAAGAAACAATCTGCGATTAAGGCCGTACCTAAACCATCTGAGTCAACAGCATCGGAAAGCTTGCTGTGGAACTTACACCATCTCTCACATAAACCAAGCCGCCCTCAATGTAAGCCCATTGCCATGATCGGAAAGACAGCAAAGGATCGACTGAGTTGATCGACTGAGATGATAGAAAGCACGCATAATGGTTCCTTGGTAGACAAACTGGAGAAGGGGCGCCAAATTTGAATAGACGCCGGGCTAAAGAGGGATTGGCGGCCACTAGACGCACAATGCTCTTAGCTGCAAAACTTTTGAAATTGGAGTAAAAGTTTTCGCACCAAAATGTTTAAGTTTGTTGACTATGTGCACAAACCAGAAACCATCCTAGTCAGCATCCATATATTTTCAGCCCCCCAATACTTCATTGTCCACTGAAGCAATCCTACCTCTGGCTGAAAGGTCCGATGGAATAATTTCTTAGCATCGCTGGGATTCCTGGATGCCTAAATTTGGCCCAAAATTTTGGACTGGTACTCCGAACTCAGTTGCCAGATTGCTTTAATCCATCTGGGACGCGACGTGGCTTTCGGAAATCTTAGGCCCCATTTAGGCATCCCGGGATCTCAGCGGTGCTAGGAGATAATTCCATCGTACTTTTTTGCCAGAGTTATGATTGCTTCAGCGGGTAATT